CTTCTTTTTTTTTGAGATGGAGTCTCACTCTGTCGCACAGGCTGGAATTTACTCGCCGCAACCTCTGCCTCCTAGGTTCGAGCGATTCTCAGACTGCCTCAGCCTCCCAGGTAACTGGGGTTATAGGCGCACACCATCACGCCCAGCTAATTTTTGCATTTTTAGTAGAGACAGGGTTTCACCATGTTGGCCAGGCTGGTCTCAAACTCCTGATCTCAAGTGATCCACCCACCTTGGCCTTCCAAAGGGCTAGGATTACAGATGTGAGCCACCATGCCTGGCCGTCCTTTCTGAATTTTTGTTTAGTTGATCTGGTGAGAAATATGTTAAAACTTTCAACTATGACTTTTTCCCTATAGTAATATCAGTCTTTTTTTCTTGCATTTTAAAGCTGTATAATGTTTTTCTGAGATGGGAGTCTCGCTCTATTGCCAGGCTGGAGTACAGTGGCACAATCTTGGCTCATTGCAACCTCTGCCTCTGGGTTTAAGCAATTCCCCTGCCTCAGCCTCCCAGGTAGCTGGGACTACAGGTGCGCTCCATCACACCCAGCTAATTTTTTATATTTTAGTAGAGATGGGGTTTCACCATGTTGGCCAGGATGGTCTCGATCTCCTGACCTCGTGATCCACCCACCTTGGCCTCCCAAAGTGCTGGAGTTACAGGTGTGAGCCACCGCGCCTGGTAAGGCTATATAATGTTAAAGACAAAATTGTACTGACATTTGTTTAAACAGTAAGAAATACTTTAAGCAGGACTGTTGTGATAGGTGTAAAGACTATTGGAATAAGAGAGATAGGTCTCAACTTCAAATACTAGGACAAGTAGGAATTTATAGCCAAAAAGCAGAAAGTCAGTCAGAGGTTGACATCAAGGGTGGTGAGATTCTCACTGCAATTGGGCTGTGCAGGACTGGCAAGGACAGGGGCCCAGGGTCAAGAACTGCTTGTTGAGAAGAGGGCTCAGACGAGTCTTAGTAAAGTTTGGTCAAGGAGGGAGTCTTTGTCAATGACTAGGTACATACACATTTATAATAGTTATGTCTTCGTGATGTGACCCTTTTACAAGTATAAGACGTGTCTCTTCTTCTCTACTAATACACCTTACCTTGAAATATATTTTCTCTGATGTTAGTAATATAGCCACGCCAGTTTGTTTCAAGATTGGCGTATGTGTATAATGTATCTTTTTTATTTTATCTGTTTTTTAAACAGTTTCTTATAGATAGCATGTAGTTGTCTTGTTTTTCATTTATTCAGTTTTATAATTTCTGCCCTTTTATATTTTTATTTTTAGCATTTAAATTTTTTATTTTTATTTTTGTTTTATATTTGATACAGAGTCTCTGTCACCCAGGTTGGAGTGCAGTAGCGTGGTCATGGCTCACTGCAGCCTTGACTTCCTGGGCTCCAGTGATCCTCCCACCTCAGCCTCCCGAGTAGCTGGGACCACAGATGTGCGCTACCACACCCAACTAATTTTAGTATTTTTAGTAGAGACAGGGTTTCGCTATGTTGCCCAGGTTGGGTAAGCTCAAGCAGCCTAACTGCCTCAGTCTCCCAAAGTGCTGGGATTACATGCGTGAGTCACCACTATTCTGCTGAAAGCTAGAACTCTTTAAATTCATTTTTGAGTTCCTTTGAACTCCACTCCCAATTTTCATTGCTTTATATTCGGTCTTCCCTTGTATCTGCCATGTTTCAGTTATCACTGCCTTCATTTTGGATTAAGCTATATTTAACCTTTGAGTTTTTTTTTTTTCTTTTAAATCCCTAGATTGTTCTGCCTAATACTTCTCTGGTCAAGCAGTCAACAGTCATCAATTGAGCATCTATTTAAGACATTGATCTGAGCATTTATCAAATTAAACTATTTTCATCATGTCACTTATGCTTGAAAAAATTAATTGGCTTCCAGTTTTATCACATGTAAAGTCATTGACCAGACTTTAAAAGTTCTCTATAATATCCTGTGGTGTTTTCCATCTGCCTTTTGTATCCAGCAGTTCATTTTACTCCTAATTTCTTTCAATATGCATTCTACTTTTAGTCTCTGGTGTTTACAAGAGCTTGCTTCTTATTTAAAATGCTCTTATTTTCTAACTGTATCTCATGAAAGATCAATATCAGTTGGGCGTCCTGGCTCACACCTGTAGTCCCAGCTACTCCGGAGGCTGAGGCATGAGAATTGCTTGAACCTGAAAGGCTGAGGTTGCAGTGAGCCAACATTGCATCACTGCACTCCAGCCTGGGCAACAGAGCAAGACTCTGTCTCAAAAAAAAAAAGCTTAATATCTAAAAGTTTGACTGTTAATGTTCCATCTCTTATCCTGTAAATGCTGACATTGCATTTAACAGTTTTTTTTAAATTTGTTTTTAATAAGGGTAGTGAATGCCTTATTTCATAAATAGTTAAGTGAATTCCTCAGTTCATCAACCAGATGGTTAAGTTTTTGAAGATAGGGGCCATACTGCCTTTGTTATTCAATAATTTTGAATACAGTGATTTATTAATATGGGGTCCTTAAACCCGGGGCTGTGGACCTGTACAGATCCTTGGCCTGTTGGAAAGTGGGCTGCAAAGCAGGAGGAGAGTGGCGGGCAAGCCAGCATTACTGCCTGGACTTTGCTTCCTGTCAGATCAGCGGTGGTATTAGATTCCCATAGGAGCGCTAACCTTATTGTGAACTGTGTGTGCAAGGGATCTAGGTTGTGTGCACCTTATGAGAAATTAATGCCTGATGATCTCAGGTTGAACAATTTATCCCAAAACCTCCTCTCCTGAAAATCCGTGGAAGAATTGTCTTCCATGAAATTGGTCCCTGCTGTCACAATGGTTGGGAACTGCTGTCTTTTTATGATTATTATTTTTTTAAATTGTACTTTAGATTCTGGGGTACATGTGCAGATCATGCAAGATTATTGCATAGGTACATTCATGGCAAGGTGGTTTGTTGCCACCATCCCATCACCTATACCTGACATTTCTCCCCACGTTATCCCTCCCCAACCCTCACTCCCACTATCCTTCCTATAGCCACCCCCACCAGACCCCATGTGTGATGTTCCCCTCTTGTGTCCAAGTGTTCTCACTGTTCAACACCCGCCTATGAATGAGAAATGCAGTGTTTGATTTTCTGTTCTTGTGTCAGTTTGCCGAGAATGATGGTTTCCAGGTTCATCCATGTTCCTACAAAGGACACAAACTCATCGTTTTTTATGGCTGCATAGTATTCCATGGTGTATATGTGCCACATTTTCTTTGTCCAGTCTATCATTGATGGGCATATGGGTTGGTTCCAGGTCTTTGCTATTGTAAACAATGCCACGATGAACATGCCTGTGCATGTGTCTTTATAATAGAATGATTGATAGTCCTTTGGGGTATATACCCAGTAATGGGATTGCTGGGTCAAATGGAATTTCTGTTTCTAGATCCTTGAGGAAACACCATACTTACACAATGGTTGAACTAATTTACACCATTAGTGTAAATTAGTTTGAACTAACTCCCACCAACAGTGTGGGATTGCCGTCTTAATGAATGTTCATGTACCCAACTTAACCTACTGAAATCTATGGGAAGGACATAAAGGAACGACTTTCTCCATCCTCAAGAAGTGGTTCAATTGGTGGACATAATGCAAATTTGTAACGACATCCTTAATACTAATGAGAAAAGTATATGCAAAGTGCTTTAGGAGCACAGGGTAGTATTCACTCGTTTTCACCTTTACAACTAATTACTTTAAGCTTTTAACATTTAGACAAGAAAATTTAAAAGCACATTGTTTTATAAATTAAGGAGACTCAAGGGCAGTGAAAATTCTTTTGGTTCATGATGTGGTGTTTAGTAATAGGAAGAAAGGGTCAACGTTGGCAAAGTGATTTGCAGGTTTAGTGTCCTTTATCTGAAATGCTTGTGACCAGAGTATTTCATATTTTGTATTTTTCCAGATTTTGGAATATTTGCATATACAAAATGAGATAACTTGGGGAGGGAACCCAAGTCTAAACATGAAATTCATTTATATTTCATATGTATCTTATACACATAGTCTGAAGGTAATTTTATATGATATTTTTAGTAATTATGTACATTGAGGATAGGAAGAGGAAAAAATAATTCTGCATGAAACAAAGTTTTGATTGTGACCAGCACATGAGGTTGGGTTTGGAATTTTCCATCATGGCACTCAAAGAGTTTTGAATTTTCAGATGAGGGATGCTAAACCTATATATTGGATGGAGCTTCCATTTACTTACTTACTTACTTATTTAGTTTTGAGACAGTCTACCCTGTCGCCCAGGCTAGATTGCAGTGGCGTGATCTTGGCTCACTGCAACTTCTGCCTCCTTGGTTTAAGCAGTGTTTGTGCCTCAGCTTCCCAAGTAGCTGGGACAACAAGCATGTACCATCATGCCCAGCTAATTTTTTTGTATGTTTAGTAGGCATGGGGTTTCAGCATGTTGGCCAGGCTGATCTCGAACTCCTGGCCTCAAGTGATCCACCTGCCTTGACCTCCCAAAGTGCCGGGGTTACAGGCATGAGCCACCACATCTAGCCTCACCTTTTTATTATTAAAAAGTTTTGTGCCAGCCATGGTGGTGTGCCTTTGCAGTCCTAGTTACTTAAGAGGCTGAAGTGGAAGGATCACTTAATCCTAGGAGTTCAAGGCCATTGTAAACAACAGTGAGACCCTTTCTCTCAAGAAAAAGAAAAAGAAATAGGTTTTCTGTGTATTTGTCAACTAATTAGCTTTAGGGGTGTGATATGGAAAGTGTCTTCAGTTTCATGACACTAGGATGGAAATCAGTGAGCAAAACTTGTACCAATCACAATTTTTTTAACATCCTTATTTGTATACTATTTATGATACAGACATGGTATATACTTTATCTTGACAGTTCAAGGCAGAAAGGTTAATATTTTTACTTACGTATTTTCCTTCTTTTGTGCTTATCTGGATTTTTAAAAACAATTTCTCCTTTGTATTACAGTCTTGGCCCTTTAGTGAGTAAAGTGAAAGAATACCAAGTAGAGACAATTGTAGATACCCTCTGCACTAACATGCTTTCTGATAAAGAACAACTTCGGGACATTTCAAGTATTGGTCTTAAAACAGTGATTGGAGAACTTCCTCCAGCTTCCAGTGGTAAGCAAGAACATATTTTTCTTCCTGTTTTCTTTTTATGTGGAGGTATTTCTACCCACCTTTTTTTCTCTTCTGGCAGAGGGAGGGAGGGAGGTGGCTGTCCCTACAGATCTTCCTAGGAATCCCTTTGAACAATTAAGAAAATTAAAGCTTGAAGCCTTGTTTTTCTTAGAAGTAGATTAGCTGTTAAATGAATATTTTGATTGAACTTATATGTCGTATGAATGTCAGTGAAGGACTTTTATATGTTGGAGCAAAATTTCATACTGTGTGTACCATGACTGCAGATTAGAGTTATGCTAACCTATGTGGTTAGGGAAGAGATAACCAAAATAATGCGTCCTGATTAGTTTTCTATTTCCAGTATTAATTTCACTTTGTGTCAGTATTTGCTACATAAAATTTAACACAGTTCAGACATAGCTGCGAAATAGTTTAGTTTACTAGTAGCTTTAATTAAAGCTGAGCCTTTTACAGCTACTCAGTAATTGAACAAATTTAAAACTAATTAACGTATTTGTCAATTAATTATAGCTTTTGGCCTCTAATAGAAATGTGTAGGTAATATAAATTTTAGAATTGGTCTTGACTACTAAACTGTTGCTAAAATTCGCAGGCTAAAAGCAATTGTCTCATCTGCAAAAAGTGAGATTATCACCTATCTCATGTGAAGATTTAGATTAATAATAATATAGTCTGGGTATGTTATTTTCACTCAATTACTTAAATCATTCACTGTGCTAGTTTTCGTGCTAAATGCTGCATACATACAACTAGTCTATACATCAAATCATATGGGAGGTCTTACTATTCTTTCTAGTTTGTAGATGGGGGAACTGAAATTCAGAGGGATAAAGTTAATTCACCCAAAGTTGGGTGACTAATTGGGTAAAGATTCAAATCGATTATCTTTTAATCCAAAAAGGATGCTTTCTTCAATGTATCATACCAGTGTTATTTTACTCTTATTAAATAGTTGCTTATTTCAATAAAACAGTTCACCAACTCAGAAGTGTATTATTTATAATTGTATTAGCTATGTATTTTTTTACTATTTTTCTCTCATTGAAATGTGTTTGCGATTGAGCCAGTTTCTGGTTTTTACAAGAATTTTTTTAACCATTCAGATGCTTAATTGTTCCTTTTTTTCTTTCAGTAACAACATGACCTACTTTAAATAATAATAATTCTGATTTATGAGTCCTGGAACGAAGTTTCTGCTTTATAATGAAGTTATGGACTCTTTGGGTTGGAAATGACCTTATTAAAAGTTAGGGTTATTTATTTATTTTTTTTGAGACGGAGTCTTGTTCTGTCGCCAGGCTGGAGTGTAGTGGCGCAATCTCAGCTCACTGCAACCTCCGCCTCCTGGGTTCAAGCGATTCTTCCGTCTCAGCCTCCCGAGTAGCTGGGACCGCAGGTGCACGCCACCACATCCTGCTAATTTTTGTATTTTTAGTAGAGACGGGGTTTCACCATGTTGGCCAGGATGGTCTCAATCTCTTGACCTCGTGATCCACCGGTATTGGCCTCCCGAAGTGCTGGGATTACAGGCGTGAGCTATTGAGCTGGGCCCTTTTTTTTTTTTTTTTTTTTTTAATTTTAAACACATGCTAAGCATTGGAGCTCAGAATATATGCTTTTTAATTCACTGAAGTTTGAAAGCCCAGTCTAATAGAAAATACTCAAATAGAGAAAACTCTCCTTGCTGCTTTTTAGTCTTAGGGGTGCAAGTGCTACAGTTACTACTGGCCCCATAGCTAGCATTCATACCAGTGCATACAGATTATCCGATAGATAGAATAGTTATCTACTATTAATAGTTATCTATAGTATCTTCTATTAATCCAGTAGAAATTGCTGATATCCGTATTGTTTTCCCTCCTTTACTTCTTCTGAAGTTGTCATCTCTAATTCTTATTTATGTCTAATAAGTTATTTTATTGTAAAGCAGCCTGCTTTGAAAGATGTGTTTTTCTGCCATGGGTCTCTTGTGTCTCATGATCAAGTGTGGAGTTTTAAATATTTGGTAACTACCATAAATATGAGATAGAGTTCAACATGCTTGCTTTGAAGTTATGCTTCTTATTCATGCAGGCTCTGCATTAGCTGCTAATGTATGTAAAAAGATTACTGGACGTCTTACCAGTGCAATAGCAAAGCAGGAAGATGTCTCTGTTCAGCTAGAAGCCTTGGATATTATGGCTGATATGTTGAGCAGGTAAGTGTGCCTGTTTATTTGCATTACTTTTAATGCAGATATTACATTGAATTACTAAAAACTTTTTCTAATAAATATAATAAAACTTGGTCAAAAATTATTCCTTTTTAAATGATGGCCCTTTTATAAATTTGTATGATTAGGTGTGAGGAGGAAATAAACTAATTACACTTACGTATAAGTATATAATATTGCATAGTAAACATTTTGTAGTTCTTTAATAAAGTTTGTGATTTTAAATTTGTTAGCACAGTTCATGTTTTGTTTTGCATACTTGCATTCAATGATCTATTTAGATAAGGAGATGTGCCGTAGTTAGGGATTTTCTAGTTAAAAGAATGCCGGTAATCTTCAGCAACTATATTTATAGTACATATTTTAGGGGAGGAAGGACCTTGGATTTTATATATTTGTTGCCTTTCACTTTCCTTTGGAAGTCAGATGTTAAAACAGAGACCTAAGCAACTCCTAGGAGACAATGCCTTAAAGTACCTGTCAATTTCTGATTCTCATAATCATTATAGGCCACCATTATTTGTACATATTTTTTTGTGGCAAATTCATTTCAACTTAAATACAATCAAGTGCCTTCATGTGGGGTATGTGGGGGTGTGTGTGTATAAAGTGAGGAGCTATCATCCTGGCACTCAAAGAGCTTATATTTTACTATAGGACATAAGAACACAAATGGCTACAGGGCAGAATGGGACTAAAGACTAACTGGGAGCATAGTGTGTTTTGGGTTTTAAAATGGAAGGATTCAAGAAAATTGTTTTCATGGAAATTGGCATTTGAATTGAGTTTTGAAGAATGGGTAGCACTTCAATAGGTAGATGTACCCAGTAACGTAAGTAGTATATTGATGGGGGAGCGTATTCTAGTTTTCTAGAATATAGAATGAATAGAAAAGCAGTAGGAAATCATTCTAAAAGATGGTGGTCATGTTGAGGTGGGTGAGGAATTTATGTTTAATTTGATAAACAGTGAAAATTCAGACTTTTTGTCCTTTATATGATTTAATTACGAACACTGTCCTGACGCAGGTTTGGGTATTAGTGACTCACTGAACTATACATTTGAGATGATTTGGAAGAGGGGTATTGGAACAACAGGAACAATGAAACTATGTGTGTGTATGTATATATATATATTTATGTAGAGGAAAGACAATAAGGCAGAGGGAGAACTCAAGAGAAACTCAATTTTTAGTACTGTGAATCCTCCCAAAAAAGTAATACAGAAAGTCAGAATACAGAAAATCATTTAGAGACTTTTTTTTTTTTTTTTGAGACAAAGTCTCTGTTACCCAGGCTGGAGTGCAGTTCCTTGATCTCAGCTCACTGCAACCTCTGCCTCCCAGGTTCAATAATTCTGCCTCTGCTTCCTGAGTAGCTGGGATTACAGGCGCCTGCCACTACACCTGGCTGATTTTTGTATTTTTAGTACAGATGGGGTTTTCCATGTTGGCCAGGACGTTCTTGAGCTCCTAACCTCAGGTGATGCACCTGCCTCGGCCTCCCAAAGTGCTGGGCTTACAGGTGTGAGCCACCGCACCTGACCCAGAAAATCATTTAGAGATTTTGGAAGGAGAAAGTAACAAGATTGTTGTGTGTTTTTGGTTGTTATTTGTGTTTGGATTTGGTTTTGGTTTTGAGACAGGTTTTGGGCCAGGCTGGAGTGCATTGGCATGATCACGGCCCATTGCAGCCTCAGCTTAACCAGGCTCAGGTGATCCTTCTACTTCAGCCTCTGAGCAGCTGGGACTGCAGGCATGTGCCACCACACCTGGCTAATTTTTGTAGTTTTTGTGGAGCTGAGGTTTTGCCATGTTGCTTAGGCTGGTCTCGAACCCCTGGGCTCAAGCAGTCTGCCTGCCTCAGCCTCCCAAAGTGCTGGGATTACAGGTGTGAGCCGTCGCACCCAGCCTTGTGGTTTTGTGTGTGTGTGTTTTTTTTTTAATTTCTAATACTTTACCAAGCCAGTTGGTATTGGATTGGATATGCTATAATTGGGGATTTAGGTCTAGATTCCAGGAGTCAGTTTGGCAATGTAAATTTCAAGGCTGTATTCACTTAACTCTGGTTTCTGTTGCATTGGTAGATAAACTGAGAATTTAATTTTCCTTGAGTCCCAACTAAATTTGTGTTCTGAATATTTACATTGAAGTCAGAGGCCAGACATGTAGTAGTGCTCAGGCATCTTGAATTCATTTGTTGTTTTCTTTCTTTTTTTTATTTTATTTTAAGGCAAGGAGGACTTCTTGTTAATTTCCATCCTTCAATTCTGACCTGTCTACTTCCCCAGTTGACCAGCCCTAGACTTGCAGTGAGGAAAAGAACCATTATTGCTCTTGGCCATCTGGTTATGAGCTGTGGAAATATAGTTTTTGTAGATCTTATTGAACATCTGTTGTCAGAGTTGTCCAAAAATGATTCCATGTCAACAACAAGAACCTACATACAATGTATTGCTGCTATTAGTAGGCAAGCTGGTCATAGAATAGGTAAGGAATTTTTTTAAGTTTTAAAGTTTTCTTTAATAAAAAAATAATTGCAGGTTTTTAAAGAACCATTATGCTTTTCTTAGGTGAATACCTTGAGAAGATAATTCCTTTGGTGGTAAAATTTTGCAATGTAGATGATGATGAATTAAGAGAATACTGTATTCAAGCCTTTGAATCATTTGTAAGAAGGTACGTTTTAAGATCTTTATTTTTATTCCCTTAAGAATAGAATCATAAGATCTAGATTAGGTGTGTGAATAGAAGCAGCTTTTGGATTTCAGATACAAGAGACAATACAATATTTGAAGCTAATATCATCTTGCTGTTATAAAATGTGGTTGTCATATTTATTTTGAAAAATTTCTTGTCATTGTTGGGACTTTATTTAAATAATTTGGGAAAGGTATTTATAATTATTTTGGGTTTACTTTAGAAGGGAAGAAATGCCAGTGTAATAATGTAGTTTATTCTGAAAGCACAGCAGGATAAATTATCCAATCAGAAATACATAGTGAATTGTCTTTTCATCAGTTTCTTAGGTCACATCGATTTTGCTAGGTCAGTGATTCTCAATTTGGAAATTGATTCTAATATATTTTTTTAAAGCTTAGTAAAAAGTGCATATTTGTGTACTAGAAGGCAATGCTAGATAAGTAACAGAATTTTTGCTCTTGGCTAATGTATTGGCATGGTGTCTTGAGACCTTACAGGTTGTTTTCTGCATTTATCCCTTGATACTCCTGGTTTTGAGAAGTGGCTTTTAATCATATCATATTATTAAAATCAGAAATTGTTGGATTCATTTTGTTCCTTTAGTTGAGAAACACAAAGTATTCTTTTATTTGTTGGCTCTGTGGGCATTTATATGTTCTGTCCTCATTGTATAGCTAGAAGACCAAGCCTAGGTGATTATGCACTGGCATTTTCACAAATAACCATCATTACTGAAGAGCACATTCATCTGGGCTGGGTTTTTAAATAACATGTTGAATATATGCCGATTTCTCTCTATATTGCCACACAGTAACCATAACATAGTTAAAATGGGAATTAGGGAAGATCATCTTAAAATTGATTAAGTATAATTTGGAAGGTAAACCTTTTAAAATAGTAAGTCCATAGGAGAGAAAGGCACCAAGAATCATTGGTGCTAGTCTGGGAACTACTCTCCTATGTTATTGCTGGTAATTAAAGCAAAATGTGGCAGATGATGAATCAAGGAGAAAAGTACAACTCTTCAAGGAAGCTTTTGTTTTTGTCTTAGATGTCCTAAGGAAGTATATCCTCATGTTTCTACCATTATAAATATTTGTCTTAAATATCTTACCTATGATCCAAATTATAATTACGATGATGAAGATGAAGATGAAAATGCAATGGACGCTGATGGTGGTGATGATGATGATCAAGGTATTTCAAATTAAATAGAATCTTTTAAATTTTTATTAAAGATAGTGGTATAGATGGAGATGATTTTTAGTGCAAATTGTACTTTTATTTATAGTAGTGACAAGGGAAATGATCTCAATATTCGATAATAGCAAATTGATTAAGTTAGAGGGCATTCATGTATTGAACTATTGTACAACACATTAAAAAATTATGCCTGAAAAACATTTATTAATGCTGTTAATAAGATCAGTGAAAAGTATGTAGCAAAAATTTCTCTGTGTTCCAATTTTATTTCTTTAAGTATACAGAAAAAATTCTGTATATTTACAACTAGTACCATTACCACTTGTTTTCTCTTAGTAACTATATATGATTTTTGATTTTAAGTACTACTCAGATTTTCTACAAAGCATTTTTGTAAGGAGATAAATCAAGGTTGTAGAAAGAATTGAATCTGTAGACAGACATATTTAGGGCAGGTTAGTTTGAAAGAGTGTTAGTTTGTTTATTCATAGTTATGTTCATGAAAAAAATCTAAATATTGTTTGAGGCCCATTTAACTTTCATTAATAGCTTACAACATTTCTGAGGCTTCTAAGCCTGATGTCATCACAGTATGATTTATGATATTTACTCTGGAAAGGAGTAGCAGCACTTCATGGTCATATGGGGTGCTCATGTTCAGTTGTTTCTGTTTATATTGGAAGAATCATAATAACAGATATTTAAGTTGGTAAATCACTAGGTAAACAGGTTGGTAGACTTTCATTATTTTTGAGAATACATTTTAGTGTGATTCTTTGAATGAATTCATATAACAACTTTCCTATCAAGTCAGTAATTTCACCCATCTTTAAAAAACAACTACCAAAAAAGTTTCTTAACACCCTATACTTCTCTAGCAGCTGCTGCCTAGTTTCTCTCTTCTACCACAGAACTCAAAAGAATGCAATTCAGTTTCTTACTTTTCCTTCTCTCTTGAGTCCACTCCTCCAGTGATGGACAAGATTGAAAATGTTTGAGTCTGCCTATCATATTGCTCAGTCGTAGCAACATTTCTTTTTCTTTTTAAGACAGAGTTTTGTTCTTGTTGCCCAGGCTGGAGTGCAGTGGTGCAATCTTGGCTCACCTCAACCTCTGCCTCCTGGGTTCAAGTGATTCTCCTACATCAGCCTCCTGAGTATCTGGGATTACAGGCACGTGCCACCATGCCCAGCTAATTTTGCATTTTTCATAGAGACGGGGTTTTTCCATGTTGGTCAGTGTGGTCTCGAACTCCCAACCTCAGGTGATCTGCGCGCCTCAGCCTCCCAAAGTGCTGAGCCACCATGTCCAGCAAGCAGCATTTCTTTTTTTTTTGAGACAGAGTCTCGCTCTTGTCACCCAGGCTGGAGTGCAGTAGCATGATCTCCGAGCACTGCAACCCCGGCCTCCTGGGTTCGAGTGATTCTCCTGCCTCTGCCTCCTGAGCAGTTGGGACTACAGGCACACATCACCACGCCCAGCTAATTTTTATATTTTTAGTAGAAACAGAATTTTACCGGATTGGCCAGGCTGGTCTTGAACTCCTGACCTTGTGAGCCACCCGCTTCGGCCTCCCAAAGTGCTGGGATTACATGCATGCAAGCAACATTTCTTTATTTAGCATCCAGGATACCATTCAAGCCTGGGTGTTCTATCATTGTGATTACTTCAGTGTTCTATGCTTGGTTCTTCTTCATCCCGACCACTGTACTTAGAGTACCTTAAGGCTCAGTGCTTGAACTTAATCTGTTATGCTCTTGATTTTTTGTTGATCTCATTTAGTCTCCTGGCTTTAATGTCAGTGTGCTGGCAACTTAGATCCTGTCTTTACTCCAGATCTCGCTTGTGAATCCAGATTCATATTCAGCTCCTTAATTAACATTGCTGCTTGGATATCTAAAATATCTTTTCCCTACCCCTTCCCCATCTCCCACCTAATCTGTTCTTTAGCCTGTACCATCTCAGAATGATACCTCCATTCTTCTTAGTTTATCAGGCCAAAAACCTTGCAGTCATACCTGATTTCTTTTCACACATCCCTCATCTAGTCTCCCACCTCAAAACTATCTTTCATTTTACTGTTTTTATTTTATCACACTTAGTAACTTTCTGACATACTGTAATTGATGGTCTCCTACCTATTAGAATGTAAGTTTCATGAAGGCTAGACATTTTAATCTCTTGATTGACTGCTTTATTCCAGTGTCTAGGACAGTGCTTGACACAAAGGCAATCAATAAATGGGTTATATTAATGAAGGGAAACCTTAGCTTATATTTTACTATGAATATCTTCTGAAGAAAGCAGTAGCAATGTATATTCCAGATTTTGAATGTTGGCTTTTTGTGTAGTTTATAACAAACCAGGTACTTCCACCTGCTTTATCAGTTAATATGAGTCATACCTAATAAATGTCTTTCTGCGATGATTTTGTGATTTATAAAATCAACATGATTTTAGTGAATTAGGACATTGGTTAATTTTTTGTGATCTTTTCAATAAAGCACATTTCTGGGATGCAAGTACTATGGTGTATTGACATGGAAAAAATTTTTTGTGCTTTTAAATGGATAGTATATTTTGGCACTGACTTTTAACTTTATTTAAATAGATAAACTGGTAAATAAGCAAATGCCTAGCATTTAGCAGTATTTGATTGTATTTTCCTATAATGTGCTAAGGTGAATTTTAAGCTTTGGAGATTGGAAAATTTTGCTGTTTTATTATATATCATAGAATCTTCTAAGGCCTAACTGGCTACATTTGACTGTTGCTAAGCTAACTGGAATAAAAGCCAGCAAAGAGTTATCCTGCTCAATTATTTCAAGGCTATATTTAGTCTTATCTAAAAATGACAAAATTATTGCTAGATAATTTTAGACTATCATGATAACTGCTTAATATTTCTGCCACCTTTCTGACTTCATATTACCCAACTAACTAACCCTGATGGTTGTCAGAAATACTTTCTGGAGATTTCACACACGTGTTATTTATCAAGTATAGATAAGCGAGATACAATTCTTAGTGCTACTGCTTTGAATGTTTAAGGTTTAGCATTAGGAGTTAGAGGAAAATGGTCCTCTGTTAAGCGTGCAGCATTTTCTTGTTATAATTAAGGAAAAATGGTTTGTTAAAGTACATTAAGACAAAATTGTGGAAGGTTTAAAATATGCATATTTGTTCTTCATAGCTTATCAACAAGTTAAGTGAAAAGCTTTGTAGTCACAAAGCTGATGTCAACCTTCTTTCTTTTCCCAGAAAATTAGTTCTGCAGTGTTTTGAAATTGGTAACCACTTTTTATCACCTAATCTATTACCACAAATGTATTTCATAGTTTGTCTTATAAAGTCCCTAATTGTTTGTTTGATTTTTTTTTTCCTATGCTGTTAAGTAAATTCTTTGAATTTGGTTTCAAAGGCTGGGAAATGTATGACTTTAAAAGTATTTATATTCTAAAGAAGTTGAATGTGTTAATTGATTATTTTAAAGAGTTATAAATAAGCAGCGGTTCATTACAAAATAGATGAGAAAATGTTTAATTAAAAATCCAATTACGATTGTTTTTTAAGGTTAAGTTATGTGCAGATGTATAGAAGTAACAAGCTCTTTCTTTGTTCAAGTTCCAGTTCTGTTGAAACCTACCTGTTGCTGTATATGTTACTGGAAAGTTAGATTAACTGACTTGGTTAAGAATATCAATTCATTTTCTAAGTGATATACTTCTCCTGTCATTAATAGCCTCTTTACATTAAAACTTACCCTTTAGGGAGTGATGATGAATACAGTGATGATGATGACATGAGTTGGAAAGTGAGACGTGCAGCTGCTAAGTGCTTGGATGCCGTAGTTAGCACAAGGCATGAAATGCTTCCAGAATTCTACAAGACCGTCTCTCCTGCACTAATATCCAGATTTAAAGAGCGTGAAGAGAATGTAAAGGCAGATGTTTTTCACGCATACCTTTCTCTTTTGAAGCAAACTCGTCCTGTACAAAGTTGGCTATGTGACCCTGATGCAATGGAACAGGGAGAAACACCTTTAACAATGCTTCAGAGTCAGGTAAATTTTAAAGTACAGTTTAGAAAGTCATGGTAGTAAATGCAGTGCTGTTAAAATTGTTTTTATGTGGAAATATGAGTTACAGAATATCTATAGAGAAGCAGAAAGTTCTGGGATATGTTTATACAGTTAATGTATGATCATATTATGTTACTTATAAACTGTTCATTCTAATCGAAGTATTCTTCATTTTACTTTATAAACAGTATATAAATAATTTTAAAATTCAGTAAAGTAATCTTTATCTTTGGTGTTCATAGAGCAGACTTAGAGCTGTGGAGTCATACTACTTGTGTTAACATATCCGGCTTCACTTCTGATTTAGGTGTGTGATCTTGGACAAGTTAGTCACTTTATTAAACTTCACTTTTCTCATTTGTGATAAGGATGTACTTAGAAATATCTACCTGTGGTAATGAGAGCTGGATATTCTGTGTAGAGCATTCAGTGTAGTGCCCACTACATATGTGTTTGATATATTCCAGGGCTTATTAATAAAATACACATTTTTTCACTTGAGGGCACTTTTTCTAAAATCCTAAATATTAGAGCTATTATATTGCATCCCTTTATTGAATTTTTTTTTTTTTGTCATGGAGTTTCGCTCTTGTTACCCAGGTTGGAGTACAATGGCACGATCTCGGCTCACCACAACCTCTGCCTCCTGGGTTCAGACAATTCTCCTGCCTCAGCCTCCTGAGTAGCTGGGATTACAGGCACGCGCCACCATGCCCAGCTAATTTTTTGTATTTTTAGTAGAGACGGGGTTTCACCATGTTGACCAGGATGGTCTCGATCTCTTGACCTCATGATCCACCCGCCTCGGCCTCCCAAAGTGCTGGGATTACAGGTGTGAGCCACTGTGCCCAGCCCTTTTATTGAATATTTATTACATAACAGGCATTCTCCTATCTTATACGTAATCTCTACAGCAGCCCTATGGGATGCATAAATACTAGGTCAGTTTTTTATAGATTACAAAACAGGTATTGAAAGGAATTAAACCAGGGAGGGGATATATGTACTATATCTATCTTGTTTTCAAGTAGTACAGATAAATACATTTTTGTGGTGAAATTACTCATAAAGGTGAATGTTGAAGATTAATTGTAGAAGGAAATGAGATAAAGTATATGGAGGATATAAGCAAGTGAGTAAACATATAGAAGTCAGGTATTGCTCAGTAGAGTTGCCAGGAATTCTGACAGTGCTTTGGGAAATTAGATACTTTGTTTTTGTCTAGTTCTTAGATCACTGTGTAATTATGCTGTGTGTCCATGTAGTTTGGTCATTGGGGTTTTTCTTGGCTTTGTTTTTGCTTTTAATTTCTACTTGCTTTGCTGTTGAGGTATTCTAGAAGCTCCGTTTATAGCTTCGCATTTTTAAGATTTGTTAGTAGAGACCCTGTTTGTTTTACTGACTAGCAAAATGTTAGAAAGTTTAGAGCAGGCCAGGCGCGCAGTGCCTCACGCCTGTAATGCCACCACTTTGGGAGGACGAGGCAGGCAGATAATGAGGTCAGGAGATGGAGATGATCCTGGCAATGGTGAAACCTTGTCTCTACTAAAATATAAAAATTAAGCTGGACATGGTGGCATATGCCTGTAGTCCCAGCTACTCAGGAGGTTGAGGCAGGGGAATCGCTTGAATCCGGGAAATGGAGGTTGCAGTGAGCTGAGATCGTGCCACTGCACTCCAGCCTGGTGAAAGAGCAAGACTCCATATCAAAAAAAGAGAAAGTTTAGGTTAGATGTCTTTGAATCATACCCCTGCTGCTAGTAGCCACATTTGAAGTGAGGTTGATTCCTTGTAACCGCAAATGGAAAGTAAGAAAAGGACCTGTTCAGTGGTTACTTTTCCATAATTTGTCTTGTTTCCTTTGATTTTTATCTGTGCTGTTGTCATTCAAAATATCATTTATAAAAACCTCCTAAATTTTTGGTTGAAAATATGTTGATTAATTTCTTTTTCATCATGTATGTTTCACAATAAAAAATAAAGTAGGGAAGACTATTTTGTTGCTCTTTGGAAAGCTAAATGACAGCTTTTCTGTAATTTTTTTTTCAGACAAGAGTCTCGCTCTGTCGCCTAGGCTGGAGTGCAGTATGCAATCTCTGCTCACTGCAACCTCCACCTCTTGGGTTCAAGCAATTCTCTGCCTCAGCCTCCCGAGTAGATGGGATTATGGGCCCCTGGCACCACACCCAGCTAAATTTTTGTATTGTAGTAGAGATGGGGTTTCACCATTGCCAGGATGGTCTCGATCCGACCTCATGATCTGCCTGCCTTGGCCTTCCAAAGTGCTGGGATTACAGGAGGCCAGGCTGTAATCTCAGCACTCCAAAAGTGCTGGGATTACGTCTTGGCCAGGCTGGTCTTGAATTCCTGACCTTGTGATCCACCCACCTCAGCCTCCCACAGTATTGAGATTACAGGCATGAGCCACCATGCCCAACCGTAATTTTTAAATAAGTATCAAGCAAATATAGTTACAAGAGGACATATATAATCCATGCAGCAAACTTTGTTCATATCTAACAGTCTTGTTAGTGTTAGCAATAGCAGTAGATAGCTGAATCAGGAATTTAACAAAAAAAGATAAATGCTTCCCTTTTTCCTTGTTCTCTATAATTCATGTTAAGTGTACTGACGAAATACCAACAACTGAACCAGCTAATGAGTATGTAATAATTGCAGGTTCCCAACATTGTTAAAGCTCTGCACAAACAGATGAAAGAAAAAAGTGTGAAGACCAGACAGTGTTGTTTTAACATGTTAACTGAGCTGGTAAATGTATTACCTGGGGCCCTAACACAACACATTCCTGTGCTTGTACCAGGTATGAAAGAAATGTAAATCTCTTTTGGGACTTAGCCTCTTTTTGTTAGGACTTAGATAAGCTTAAATAATGTTCCCATTTAAAGGAATCTTTGTGACAACTTAACATGCACATAGAGCTAAACATTTAAATCTAACTGCGTTGAATACCTGAAGCTAGAAATTTGTAAGTAACAAGTTAAAAGTCTTACCCTGAAATATTTGGCTTTAATATTTATTATAGATAGTGAAGATTTCTACTTGTAGAAATAATATACTGAGATGGGAACATTAGCAGTACTATTGGGGTTGATTTTTAATTTTTTCTTTCTTAAAAGTCTGCACAGCAATGATTGGATTTTTTTGTTGGCTTTTTAGGAATCATTTTCTCCCTGAATGATAAATCAAGCTCATCGAATTTGAAGATTGATGCTTTGTCGTGTCTATACGTAATCCTCTGTAACCATTCTCCTCAAGTCTTCCATCCTCATGTTCAGGCTTTGGTTCCTCCAGTGGTGGCCTGTGTTGGAGACCCATTTTACAAAATTACATCTGAAGCACTTCTTGTTACTCAACAGCTTGTCAAAGTAATTCGTCCTTTAGATCAGCCTTCCTCATTTGATGCAACTCCTTACATCAAAGATCTATTTACCTGTACCATTAAGAGATTAAAAGCAGCTGACATTGATCAGGAAGTCAAGGAAAGGGCTATTTCCTGTATGGGACAAATTATTTGCAACCTCGGAGACAATTTGGGTTCTGACTTGCCTAATACACTTCAGATTTTCTTGGAGAGACTAAAGAATGAAATTACCAGGTTAACTACAGTAAAGGCGTTGACACTGATTGCTGGGTCACCTTTGAAGATAGATTTGAGGCCTGTTCTGGGAGAGGGGGTTCCTATCCTCGCTTCATTTCTTAGGAAAAACCAGAGAGCTTTGAAACTGGGTACTCTTTCTGCCCTAGATATTCTAATAAAAAACTATAGTGACAGCTTGACAGCTGCCATGATTGATGCAGTACTAGATGAGCTCCCGCCTCTTATCAGCGAAAGTGATATGCATGTTTCACAAATGGCTATCAGTTTTCTTACCACTCTGGCAAAAGTGTATCCTTCCTCCCTTTCAAAGATAAGTGGATCCATTCTCAATGAACTTATTGGACTTGTGAGATCACCCTTATTGCAGGGTGGAGCTCTTAGTGCCATGCTAGACTTTTTCCAAGCTCTGGTTGTCACTGGAACAAATAATTTAGGATACATGGATTTGTTGCGCATGTTGACTGGTCCAGTTTACTCTCAGAGTACAGCTCTTACTCATAAGCAGTCTTATTATTCCATTGCCAAATGTGTAGCTGCCCTTACTCGAGCATGCCCTAAAGAGGGACCTGCTGTAGTAGGTCAGTTTATTCAAGATGTCAAGAACTCACGGTCTACAGATTCCATTCGTCTCTTAGCTCTACTTTCTCTTGGAGAAGTTGGGCATCATATTGACTTAAGTGGACAGTTGGAACTAAAATCTGTAATACTAGAAGCTTTCTCATCTCCTAGTGAAGAAGTCAAATCAGCTGCATCCTATGCATTAGGCAGCATTAGTGTGGGCAACCTTCCTGAATATCTGCCATTTGTCCTACAAGAAATAACCAGTCAACCCAAAAGGCAGTATCTTTTACTCCATTCCTTGAAGGAAATTATTAGCTCTGCATCAGTGGTGGGCCTTAAACCATATGTTGAAAACATCTGGGCCTTATTGTTAAAGCACTGTGAGTGCGCAGAGGAAGGAACCAGAAATGTTGTTGCTGAATGTCTAGGAAAACTCACTCTAATTGATCCAGAAACTCTCCTTCCACGGCTTAAAGGGTACTTGATATCAGGTGGGTTTCTAGATTTTCTTACTTAAAAAAAATTTTTTGGTAGTTGGTTGCCTTAAAAGATGCCTAATGACAAAGTTAAGCCATATCTATATTTTCTTAAACCTAAAAGCTAAGTATGTGATGAAAAAGAACTGTCTTGTGTAGTATGGAGCAATAGTCAAATGACATTTTGTTGTTTTAAAGGATAGAGTATAATTAGATAATGGTTAAATCTGTTCTGATCCTCATGATGACTACATTTTAATGTTACTATATTGTCTTAAAATGTGGAAATGACATATCATGAATTAATATAATCCAAAGAGCTTGCTAATACTAGTTACAATAAGTAAAATTGGTGAAAATACTTACTTCGAATGAAATATTCTGGAAGAGTTTTCAGATTTACCAATGTCATCCCCATTAGAATAAGTAGAAGGTGGTAATATTAATACCAGTAATAGCCATTCATTCTTAGATATTGCTTTTATTTTTAGTAGATTTGAAGATTTTTAAGCTTTTTTTGGATTTAGCTAGTTCTCTTTTGTGAGGATGAATTCTGCCACTGCTGCTTCAGGTCCCCCCTTCCCAGAAGAAATTCTTTAGAAATTTAGTGGGATTATATTTTATACTCATAAAGTGAGTAAACTTTGTTACTTTGGATTCATGCATGCAATAAGAAATACCCTTCTTGGCCAAGGAGAATTCTAAGGAATTGAAGGCATTAGTGTTATTTGAAGTGGTTTTAAAATGATGTCCATGAGTTTTAGTGGACTATGTCATACCAATAGACTTGCAATTTATTTTTAATTAGGTTCATCATATGCCCGAAGCTCAGTGGTTACGGCTGTGAAATTTACAATATCTGACCATCCACAGCCTATTGATCCGCTGTTAAAGAACTGCATAGGTAAGTGGAAACAAAGATAAACATACTGATTTTTGGAATTTAGAATTGTCAAGAAACTTTTAAATTTAGTAACTAGAAATATCGAGGAATTAAAATGCTTGTAAAATAATTGCTTAAGATAATTGATATGAATTTATAACTTTAACAAATTATGTTGACTATATTGTTTATAATTATTCCTAGATGATTTTGCATATAACTGAAGTTATATCAGCATCTTTAGAGTCAACTGCATATTTGATAACCACATTTTTGGGTTGACATAGCTTTAGTGGAAAAAAGGAAAAGTACTATATTTATCTGACCAGTCTGAAGTTTCTCCCCAGATGTAAATGAGTCTCACTTGAGCTGTTGAGGCCTCAATTTTCAGTTATTACTGCTAACCCCTCAATACCCAAGGAGATCTATGGAGGTTTCTGTATTTAAGGTTGAAACAACCTAAGAATAAAAAATAAAGTTGGGTAGCGTGAATTCCCAGAAGAACTAAGAGGAGATAACCAAAGAAAAACTAGGACTTTCTCTATTTCTGTGAAGATAAGAATTAGGTTTAGGGACTATTTCTGATTTTATAGCCTCCTTGCATTTTGTTTTTATCATTGGTTTTCCTAGAGTTTGGTAGTAGCCAAAAAAACCCTGGGAACTTAGTGTGTTGCTTTCTTGAGGCCAGGATAATGGAGATAACCATCAGGGAGGATTGAGGGATTTGGCAAAGAAACTTTGTAGCTTTGCACCATTCTGCAGTGTGCCAGAAAGAAAAAACAAATACAATTTAAAATTTGAACTATATACAAAGGGATTGCCAATTCAGAATAAGGAAGGGACAGGCACAAATGAGTTCTATTGCTAGGGCCTAGAAATTATTAAAGTCTATATGAGAAATTTCTTACTTAAATATCCCCCACCCATTTTCTGCTTTGATACATTTATTGAGCACGTTGGTATTACACAAGATAGGACAGAGAAAGAAGCCCATCCCATATCTCTAGAAATATCTTTCCATGTTGACAACAATCAACCAGTATGCATTGTTGATATAGTTACTTAGCCAGGTAGTTACCATTCTAATTGAATTATGATTTAGTTCAGTATTTGTCACTGTTTGAACATCAGAATCACCTAGGAAACTTGAAAAAAATTGAAATTGCTAGTTCATCACGCCATTTTGTCCATAATAGCAATATTTTAGATGCTTTACTTGAAAGCAGATAGATACTCTATTGTAATTGCTCTTCTAATCTACCAGTTTCATATGCAAATAATAGGGAGAGGAGATTAGTTTGGTACATTTATATTGTTTTCAAAAACCGTGCTATCTCTCAGACTTTTTTTTTTAAGTCAGTGCTGGAACTTTTCTGGGTATCAACATTGGGTTTGCCAGTCTGCATAGTCTGAAGTCTCTCTTTCCTCTCATATTTTCAAATTGCTGATTTTCTAAGTTGGCATTCAAGTATTTTGTTAACTCTCCTTCATTTCCATATGTATTGTAAAAGATTGCTGATGATAGAGTTGAGATCATTTAATGGTGAATAATAACTATATGTGAATACCTATTGGGTATTAGACATTGTCTTCAACAATGTACACACCATTTATTCTGCTCAGTTTAGCTCTAAAAGGTTTATAATCCTCATTTTATTGACTGAGAAATTTATGTGAGAAACTTTAGGCAACTTTCTCGCCTGAGTAACTTGCACAAAATCAAACATTTAACAAGTAAAATGATTTGAACCATCATCTATATGACTCCAAAGGTCTTTGCATTATGCTTTCTTGCCCACATTTGCAAGACTTTTAAAGTACCTAGATGCCTTCTCTGGCTTTTGTCCTATGTTAGGTTACAATTTTCTCCTTTTATATTATTTTTCTATGAATTCATATATTTCTTATTGAAGACAAATAAAGTAGGGCTTCTGGAGGTACATTTCTCTTTCATTTGATGAATTATATATATCTGCTAATAGTACTCCATCTTTATTAAGCAGTGGATCTGTCTTCACCTCATTTTTTTATTCTTATTTTGAACTTGATTTAAAAATATTCTTGTTGCTCCTTTTAATGAACTACAAGGAGAATCATACATGTTTTTAGTCTTTTTAGCTGCTGTCTCTATTGTATCTTGTATCTATAAAAGTGATATTGAGAAACTTCATGGACTCTTCTTCCATACCCTCTGCATTATAGGTGCTGAGAGTGGATTATCAATTAAAAATATATTAACCTTCAGAAATGATAGTTGTTGTGCTGCTGAAAGAAACTTTATGGTTTACTTAGTATTTCATCAGATTCTTCCATGACCTTTATTGAAGAAACAACAATGACACAGCAAAAATAAATTATATCAACTTAGAGAAACTAAAATGTATATTATAAGTTTACCATGTCTGTCTGTTGCTTTTCTTGTAATATTTCAGGTGATTTCCTGAAAACTTTAGAAGACCCAGATTTGAATGTGAGAAGAGTAGCCTTGGTCACATTTAATTCAGCAGCACATAATAAGCCATCCTTAATAAGAGATCTATTGGATACTGTTCTTCCACATCTTTACAATGAAACAAAAGTTAGGAAGGAGCTTATACGAGAGGTAAGTTAGATCACACTGTTTATCTAACCTTGTGTTTGACTTAAGTATTTTATATTGAAATGTTCTATTTTGCTTTAACAGGTAGAAATGGGTCCATTTAAACATACAGTTGATGATGGTCTGGATATTAGAAAGGCAGCTTTTGAGTGTATGTACACACTTCTAGATAGTTGTCTTGATAGACTTGATATCTTTGAATTTCTAAATCATGTTGAAGATGGTTTGAAGGACCATTATGATATTAAGGTAAGTTGTTTGTGCCTATTTATTACAATGTTTTAGAAGATGACTTTGCTAGAGCAACTTTCACCCTTGTAATTTACTCATGTGTCTGAGAAAAATTAGGTTGTCTGTCAAGATTTTGATAAGCATGTTGTAAACTATAATATGCAAAAGTAATAGGCAGTGTAATATCACTTGGCATATAAGAAAGATCCAGAACTCTTTATTGGAGGAGGAAGTGGCAGTAGATGCAAAATGCTCTGCATTCACTTGCTTAGTAAATAGTACCTAGCTAGATCCTTTCCCTCAAAAGAGTCCCGACAGATTTTGCTGTTTAAAGTATAAATCTGTTACTTTTTGGCCTGTCTTAATATTGGACTGCAGTTGCTACCCATGTAGGGATTTCTTAGCTTCCCAGCATTCTTTATTAATTCTCCTGAGTTAACTTTGCAGCTAATCTGAATTATAACTGTATTATTTACCTGAATGAGGAATTTTTGTTTTTCAGTATAATGTACTTTGTTTAATATCAAGAGTTTTGTTAGAGGGCAACATGGAACTTTTCAGATATACAAAGTAATCTTTAGAAGCAACTTGAGAGAAATCATACTGCATCTTGCAGTGTTTGGAGCATGAATTTTGCTTATCAATGTTCTTTGTTTTCCTGCATGTTCAACTTCATTTAAAATGTGAACAGTAAAAGGGTGATTTGAAAAATAAAAAAAATATGTACATTGTGTCTTTTCATCTACTCTTTCATTTAGGGCTTTTGGCCAAGCAGAGCAAAAGTGGTAACTCAGTAATCAGCCATACTACCCAAACTCCTACTCTTAGGCTTCCATATGTGGTAGTGACCTGAGCCTCTCAAAGTTCAGTGAAGAGAGCTCCCCACCAAAAAGTAAAAGGACATGCTTGTTTAATTCTATGAGTTTATAGTCTAAGAGAAAAAGGTTTATGGATTAATCAGATTTCTCATGGATTAATCTGAATAACTAACTGGTCAAATCTGTTATGATAGTGGAAACTTATTTGTAATAAGTTGTGAACACAAAACTTGTGTTCCACTTCTGTAATTTTCTAATTCAGTGATTCTCAATTCTGGTGCACATGAACTTTTTTCAAAAAAAAAAAAAAAATACTGAATCTGTGACCGTATTCTGACAGGTTCAGTAAAACTCTCTGGGGGTGGGACTTGAAGAATGGGTATGTTTCTAAAACTCTCTGGATGATTCTAATGTGCAACCAAGATTGAAAACCACTTTTCTAGTTCTCACATCTGTTTGAGACAGATTTGTCTCCAGCCTTATCTGAGTGAAGTGCTAAAGAGACTTCACCTATAATATGCTGCTCAAGAGACCTTACCTAAAGTACGATCTGGTGAGGTCTCTTCAGCACTTAACTCAGATAAGGTTTGAGACAAATCTGTCTAATTCTGATTCTGATAGGCAGATTACATTAAAAGGAAGCTTTTATACTTTGTATGCTAGTTATTTTGCTTTTAAAGGATTTGTCAGAATTTAGAATTTTGTTTTTAGAAAATAACGTCAAGTCTAAATTCTGTCTTTTTTTATTCTTCTTACTAGATGCTGACATTTTTAATGCTGGTGAGACTGTCTACCCTTTGCCCAAGTGCAGTACTGCAGAGGTTGGACCGACTTGTTGAGCCATTACGTGCAACATGTACAACTAAGGTAAGAAGTGATAAATATCAACCTATGTCAGACTTGGTATAATGGGGATTCCTAGCCAGTTCTTTTCTCTAGCTTTCCAAATATAATTATTCCAGTGCCCTAAGTAGCAGCTGGTTTAAAACGTTAACCTAGTGAATACTGATGTTTTATAAAACTTAGCACTGTTAACTGCTATTCTTAAAAGGTTTTGTTTATGCTATATCAATATGATACATATTTTGAAGTACTGATATGGGATGAAATGATCAGGCCACAAAAGAGGATGTTTTAAATTCGGGTTGTGTCCTACACTCTTTGTTTCAACCATGTGGATCTAGATTTTTCTCTTCTTATAATGGGGCTTTGTGTAAAATATTCCCTTAAAAGAAGACAGCTGCTTTAAAAATAAGTTTAAAAACAGTTGTGCTTAGAATATAATACGCCTTATGGACCTATAAGAGTGGCTTTTACCAGAAAGATCCTCTGTGCTTAAATTTTGTTATTGTAAGAGCTGTCTTTTATAGCATGTAATCTAAGTTTACTCCATGTTACAGGTGAAGGCAAACTCAGTAAAGCAGGAATTTGAAAAACAAGATGAATTAAAGCGATCTGCCATGAGAGCAGTAGCAGCACTGCTGACCATTCCAGAAGCAGAGAAGAGTCCACTGATGAGTGAATTCCAGTCACAAATCAGTTCTAACCCTGAGCTGGCGGCCATCTTTGAAAGTATCCAAAAAGATTCATCATCTACTAACTTGGAATCAATGGACACTAGTTAGATGTTTGTTCACCATGGGGACCATTACATATGACCATACAGTGCACTGAATTGACAGGTTAATCATAAGACATGGAAAGAGAAGTGTCTAAAAGCTTCAAAATGTTCCGCTTTTTTTTCCTTCATGGAGACAGTTTGTTTGGCTTTCTTCCATTGTTGTTTTTGTAGCATTTATTTCAGAAATGTGTATTTCCATGATCCAGAGGTTGTAAAACCACTATTGTTTTAGTGGTTGCGGCAACATTTAAAATGGAAATTAAAAGTTAGGATTTTATGGAGTATGGAGGTAGGGTCCAGTATCTATTTACCCTGTAATGTTTAGGATTAAAATGTTAAAATTTTGTGACCATGAATTTCTTTCTTTTATATAATTTTCTCATTTAAAAATCAAAAATCTTGCAAAACAAAACCATGTTTCTTTTTCTTGTATAACTTTGTTTTCAGCGACATAAATTGATTTTTAGCTGGCAGACAAGAATATCCATATAAGATTTGTTTTCATTTCAGAGGGTTTGGCAATTTTAAAATGATAATAAGGTATCATTTTTAAAAATTAATATCCCTGTTGCGCACACTAATTTTGCATGAGCAAGTTTACAAATATGTATTGTCTGTAAAGCAGCATGTGCAGATTATTCATAATATAGAAGTTAAAATAAGTATTATTAGTGCAATTTTCAGATATTTATTTTTGCACAGAAAACACATTATCTGGAGAGAAAGAAAGGAGTAAATTTTTGAGACTTTGGTTTTCTTAATGCCAGTGTGAATTTGCAGATGTTTTCAGCAAATCAAGTCACAGTAACAATTTGCTACTTTTTTCTATTATAAATCTTACACACTTAAAATTTGAATATTTAAGTGCTCAGTTTTTCTCAGTTACCCATTTGTGTGTGTGTGTGTGTTTCCACCTAGAAATTCTTAAAACCAGATTTTTCTTTCATTTCCTTTGGATGTCTACATTCCTTATCAAAGGATATAAATACTGTGTATGCTTTTGAATTTTACTTTTAGGAAAATTCTGAAGCCAGCTATCACAGGTTTGTTAGCCTAATAATAGTATTTTCTTTTAGTTGAGTTAGATTTTTCCCCATCTCCTGTAGAGCTAATTTACATATTGTATTTGGTAAGTGTTAATTACTTTTCCTGATTAAGGGATCTGTGCTGGGGGAACAAAGCTTTTGCAGTACCTTATATTGTAGTTAAAATTTTATTTAACATATCCTTCAGTGAGCTCCTTTCACACTGTAGCCTCTTTTTTCAAATTTGTGGTGCTCCTGTTACAGTAAGAACTAATTCTGAAATAAAAGACATCTCCTAATGCTGTGCAAACATAGTTTACATGTGTTGAAGGAGGCAGTTGTTAAATTGAGTGACCAGTTTTAAGCAATCAGATATTTGAAAACTGCACCCTTTATTTTTGAAACTGTGAATTAGAAACACTTTTCCTGCTGTATTACTACCTGCTTTAACATCCAAATATACAGTGATTTTAATTGATAACATACTGTGGTTTCTTAGATTAACAGCTTGATTTTGAATGTTCAGGTGATAATGCAGAAGACATATCACTACTAGTAAGGATTTCGACTAGTGCATTGATGTTGAAGTTGGTGCCGTTTCTAAATGTGGCAGGTGATATCTTATACCATAATTTGCATAAAACTGTAATTGAAGTTTATTTTGAGATGTTAGTATATTATGTACTATGCATTTCTGTGGTATAGATGTTGTGGATATATTTAAGTATTTGGTTACATAGTTTCACAATAAATTACAATACCGCAGGCTCTAGGACTGAATAGGAGACTGACATGCATATGTTGTGTGAATGTCTTAGTTGGGTTAAGTTAAATCCCAATACTTCAACTGGCTTTTTCTTCAGTTTATTTGTTTTTAACTTTCAAGATGCATCTTTCTTTGTTTTGTTTTTTGTTTTTGTCTTGCAAGTCAGCTTTCTAACAGTTGAAATTCTTTCAGTACTAAAGAAATAGATGCTGCTCTTTTATAGCTTTAGTGTTGAGATACCTATTTATACACATTCATTAACAGAATGGGTAACAGAGCAATGCTTAGAATTTAAATGCTTTGTCATACTGATGGTTAACTCCATACTCCTAGTGGTGATGTGGTCCAGATACTGGAATGGATGTGGCAGGGTGTGGAGTCCAGACATAGTCTACCACTAATGCTGCTCACATAATATTAAGGTGTTCTGGTTAGCAATTTTCCACATGTAGGTTCCTGAGGAGATCTAAAAGTTAATACAAAACCAAGGCGTTTATTCATTTTCATGAGAACATTTAAGTTAGTTTTGGTCTAACTGATGTATTTTAAAAGAAGGCAGAAAGGAAATTTGGTATGGCAGGGCCTGACCTAAAAGGTTATTTAAAAAATCAGTAGTACTGAATGATAATTTTATAAATGATGGTCATGTATTTTATTAATGATTTCTGAAAGCTGTTTAACCATAAGGAATTAGAATTCTTAAAGGGTTGGAATATGATGATTTCATAAAATGTCTGAATATTTACATAATTTTTATGTAACCGTAATTAAGCCAAATTAGTCTTTTTTCTTCATACTTGGGTAAGTAGTAAAGAAATAACATAGGAGCATATCTAATTAACCAGTTCTAGTGGGTGTTCTGATATCTTTAGTTCAGTCTCAGACGTATGAATATGATTGTATGGTCGTAATTGAAGTACAAAATGAGGAAGCATACACAGTCCTCAGCCACTGAAAAATTCAGTTGAGTTGTTTATACTCCTGTAAGCTGTAATTAGTCACAAGACAAAGTATATAGTAATACTTTGTAATGAAGTAACATTTTTTGCCCACATTAATTTTAGTAAAGATCTAAATTGTTAAAATGAATTGCCAATCTCTAGATATATTATGCTTAGTAAGTGTTTTGAAATTAAAGACCTTAAACATTTCAGCAAGTAAATTTTGGATTCTAGCTCTGTTTTAAATTCAATCCTAATTTTCAAACCACTGCTACCCCAGATTTATTTATACCTGTTTTGAAATCTTGTTTATGAAATGGAGAATTGACAGTATGGTAACAGTTCATTTACTAATTAGACAAAGTGTATTCAGGTTTTAACTGACTTTTCCATTTCAATAAAATTCATTTGATACTTTTGGTTGAAAAAATGGAACACAGTGGAAGTATTTGGCTACAGGCTACCAAAATCTAATCAGATAAGATTGTTTTCTTAAAGGAATTACAAAATGAAATTATACATTTTCCTTTTCCAATATAGTAAGTTGCTTGTTTTCCTATTAATACTAGAAAAGATTTTGTAAACACCTTTGCTGTAGTTGCAGGCAAGATCTTTCAGCAACATGTTTTTGCTCCTTGTAACTGAGAAAGTTAGCTCTGAATCCAGAAACTACTGAAGGGAGTAATGCATATAATTTTGCTTTGTTGGACCCTAGAATGCCAGTGTATCAGGTTTCAGAATGATTTTTAGTAGACAGAGATACTTAATTTTGTTTTTTGGAGTCTTAATACCCTGTCCACTTCATACCTTATTAGTGGTGATTTTAGCAAGTTTAATTATTTTGCTGAGATCTTCGAAGAGAGAAAGCCTATGCTATGTAAAATTACATTCTTATAGGAAGTATTGGAATTAATTTGCTATTACCAGTAAGTAATGGTTGATGGATATTGAATGATTTTATTCTAGAATGCTGTCACACAAATATTAAAGAACTGTACCTCAGGGCCAGATGGAGGTTCAGGCCTGTAATCTCAGCACTTTGTGAGGCCAAGGTCGGGGATCACTGGAGGGCAGGAGTTGGAGACCAGACCTAGGCAACATAGTGAGATCCTGTTTCCATGAGAAAAAAAAAAGAAAACATGGAACCATAAGAATAAATGAGATGGCCCTATGTAAATGAGGATTACGTAGAATGATAAGACAGGTGGGCTGAAATACCCAGTGAACAATATTTAAGGGAAACTGAAGTACAAATAGCCTTACAGGTTTTGTTTGTTTTTGAGACAAGGTCTCTCTTACTCTGTTGCCTAGACTGGAGTACATAGCACGAACATGGTTCACTGCAGCCTCAGCTTCCTGGGCTCAAGTGATTCTTCCACCTCAGCCTCCTAGTAGCTGGGAGTATAGGTGTGTGCCACCACACCCAGCTAATTTTTTTATTTCTTTGTAGAGACAGGGTCTCATGACATTGTCTAGGGTGATCTCAAACTCCTGGGCTCAAACAATCCTCATGCCTCATCCTCCCAAACTGTTGAGATTATTATCACCTTGTCCAGCCCAATGTTGATTTCTTTTTGTTTTGTTTTGAGATGGAGTCTTGCTCTGTCGCCCAGACTGGAGTGAAGTGGCTCGATCTCAGCCCAGTGCAACTCTGCCTCCTGGATTCCAGCAATTCTCCTGCCTCAGCGTCCTAAGTAGCTGGGATTACAGGCATGTGCCACACCAAGCCTGGCTAATGTTTGTAGTAGAGATGGGTTTTTCATCATGTTGGCCAGGCTGGTCTTGAACTCCTGACCTTAGGTGATCCACGCGCCTGGCCTCCCAAAGTGCTGGGATTACAGGCGTAAGCCACTGCGCCCAATCAGTTTCTTAATCTATACATCTAGCCCACTCCATGCCCCTGTTTCAGACTATTATATCCAACTACCTGCCATATATCATAAAGGTAACTCAAAAACAGCATATATAAAGCTGAACTCATCTTTCTCTTTTTTTCCTGTCTCTTTGCTGATGGCATCCCATTTCCCCAACCATTCAAACTGTAAATCTAAAAGCCTCACATAGCATGAGTTTGGAGGCAGAATATGATAAAAAATAAGAACTCTGGGAGGCCAAGGTGGGTGGATCACTTGAGGTCAGGAGTTTGAGACCAGCCTGGCCAACATAGCTAATCCCCATCTCTACTAAAAAAACACAGATTAGCCAGATATGGTGGTGCAAGCCTGTAGCCCCAACTATGTGGGAGGCTGAGGCAGGAGAACTGCTTGAACCCTGGAGGTGGAGGTTGCAGTGACCCAAGATTGCACCACTAAACTCCAGCCTGGATGACAGAGCAAGACCCTGTCTCAAAAAAAAAAAGAACAAGGACTCTACAGACAGGATCATATATCATATTAGTGTAAATCCAGGCTGTTAGCTGTTAGACTTGGGTAAATGAACCTCAAATTTACTTGCCTTTAAAATAGCACCTTATAGGGTTATTGTGAGGACTACATAGGAACATTTGTATAAAGTGCTTAAAACAGTACTGATAAATACTAAGTGTAATATAATTGTTAACTCTTATTTAGCATTCTGTCCCTTTTATTTCCTAAATAACTCTCATGCCCATCTCTGTTACTCTTTTGGCTTAAGATCTCATTTCCTCCTTATCTATTGACTGGACTGCAGCAAATGTCTGCTAATTGTTATTTTTGTGTTCATTCGTTTTGCAAGCCAATTTATTACTCGAATAGGGTGCTGCCAGGGCTACAAAAGCTGTTGAGACTGTACCTGATACAAAGAAGCTTGCTGATTATCATGGGAAGACTGACATAAAATTCTACTGTATAAGAGGTATACACAGGGGATACTGGGGTTAACAATAGAGGGTATGGTCCATTCAACATGAGTGGGACAGAATTCATAAAGGAGATGAAATGTCTTGAGAAATGAACTCTTCCTTAGAAGAATGGTTTTCAAATGAGTGTGCATCACAATCACCTGTAGGACTTGTTAAAACAGATTGCTGGGCTCTACACTCAGGCTGTGGTTTAGTAGGTTGAAGTAAACCAATAATTTGTATTTCTAGGAAGTTCCCAGGTCCTGATGCTGTTTCCCAAGGCCACACGTTGGGAAAGACTGCATTAGAATACCCGGAAGGCATTCATTCGTTCCCAGTCCTTCATCTACACAGCTGTCAAAACAATGGTCCTGACCATTTCACATCTTTGCACTACATCCTTCACTGTCTCTTTTGCCCATAGGATAAGTACAAACTCTAGATCTGGTTACTGCCTGCCCCACCCGCCTCAGCATCTCTCACACTTAGGACTAACCTTTTGACAACTATAAAATATTTCCCTCAGCCACCATGCTATTCCTTACCTTTATAGCTTTGCTCAAGTTCAAGTTATGCCTTTTGCCTAGAATGACTTGCCTTCTCTTTTGTTTTACTTAGCTGGCTGCTTTTCATCTTGTACGTTAGGTCATGGACTCCAGGAAATCTTCCCTGCCACCAGGTGTTGAAGAGGGGATAATCTAGGGGCCAACTCCCATGTTTGGATCCTGACTCCATTTCCAGGCACGTAATATTGTCAAAATTTCTTTTAAAAGCACCTCTCTGTTAACGTTGGTGCAGATACTGCTACTCCCCACTTTTCCATACCATTGCTGATAGTTAATGAGTGGACTAGGGTATGGGAAGGGCCAACAAGTCCAAATGTCCTTTATGTCTAACTGAATACTGCCAACCTAGTTCCACTTTCTTTATCTATAGACTCAGCTTGGAGTCCTTTTTGGGACTTGGCTGGACTAAAAGTAACGCCGCCTTGTCTGGTTTGTGACTTTCTCTACTCTGATGCCCCTTGCTTTCTGTCTTGTAGAAATTTGTCAGAATTTCTGAAATTCTTGGGCCTTCCCTCTTGCTCTATATATGGTTTTGGATTTATTCCTTTAAAAAAATATTTACTGTCATTTCAGTAGAATTTTGAGACAATAAATATAAGCACATGAGATTTTTCTGCCATCTTGAAGCTTCTGTTATTTCTTGCTCTTTGCTAATGCTTTACTGAGAAACATTATAATATAGTTGTAAAAGCTCAGGCTCTGAACCTGAGTTCAAATCTGGTTCTTGGGAGTAGGACTTTGGGCACATTATTAATGTATCTAGTGTTACCAGTGAAGGGGCTTGACCAGGAGTTGTCCAGGTCCTGGGCATTTGAACAAAGAACCGAACAAAACAAAGTAGCAGAGGAATGAAATGCAGGAATGAAGCAGCAAAATCAGGAATTTATGAAAGTGAGAAAGCAGTCTGCAGGGTGGGAGTGGGCTGGAGCAAGTGGCTCAAAGGCCCAGTTACAAAGTTTTCTGGGCTTTAAGTATCCCATTTGAGGTTCTTATCATCTCCCTCTTATCTGGATGAAGGATTTAGTCTGTGGCTAGTTAAAAGCTGAGGTGAATTGGCACCCTATGCAAATAGTGGAAGTGGTAGGGAGAGTAGCCTTTGATCCTTTGTTACTTGGCTTAGAGAGATGTGTTTTTTCCCTTTTGGTTTAGCTTTAGGAGTTTGTGTGAATTGGCCTTAGGTTTCCTGCCCCCAGACCCAGGTATTTTCCTTTAGATCCAGCTTTGAGAAGTCAGTGTGATTTGGCCTTAGATTTCCTGTCCCCTAGGCCTTGGTGTTTTCTCTTTTAAAAAGTTAGCACAAATTCGTTTAAAGTTCCCTGTCTCCAGACCGTATTCTCCTGCCTAACTAGGTCTATTTCCTCATTAGTCAAATTGAGCTGTATGTACTAGTCTAAAAAAGAATTTCCCCCAACGTGCTAAGAAGGACACACACGCGCACACACACAACAGTACAACACACATGAGACAGGGCAGGGACTCCTCTTAGTGGCCTGCCGGATCCCCTCAAGCATGGAAATTAAGGGAAATTCTAAACACCTAGCTAGCCTTGAGAAGTAAATGAGCAATTTAATAAGCAAGAAGGTAATATAGCTTAAACAATAGTTACCCAAGTAAGTTCCAGTTGCAAGATATTTGGTTCCCATAGAAACTAAAAATAACATCTTGATGCCTGTCCTTGAGTTGATTTTCAGAAACTTGAACCTCCATCTGATGGAAAATGCTGACCTGTCTTGTAAACCTCAGATAAGGAGGAACTGAGGCCTGAACTTATTTATTCTAAATTTCTACCTGAGGGGCCTGCGGAAGTCACACCCTCAGGCAAACCCTTAACATTCCTTTCTGCTGACCCTAAGTTTTTAGACTTTCTGCTTAACCAATGGTGAATTGAAGAATCTCTGAATCTACCTAATCACCTGTAAACCTCTGCTTCAAGATATCTCACCTTTTGGGGCCAAACCAATGCCCCATTCATGGAGGCCATAACCTCCATGTATGGATTTATGACTTTGCCTGTAAACTCTGCCTCAGCATCTTTAAAAACCTTTGCATGTAGGCCACTGGGGAGTTTGAGTCTTAAGCGTTAGCTGCCCAGTTCTCCTTGCTTGGTGCCCTGCAATGAATGCTTACTTTGTCTCACTGCAGATCTTGGTGTTGGTGTTTGGCTTTGCTGTGCCAGGTGGATGGACCTAAGTTTGGTTCAGTAACATAGAGTAATTACTCAAAAAATATACTAAAAAAATACCTTTATTCATAAATGACTGACTATAGAAGCTTGATAGTCAACTCATAGATTCTTCATATGTCACTCCCATTTTCTAAGGGAGGCAAAGGGATGTTATGAAAGTATTTTGAGTGAAATATTTTACTCTATTTTGAGATCTTATGATAGCTCAATATTAGAAAACATATCAATGTAAAACTATTAGTAAAGTAGTAAAACTGTAAAGACTGTCAGAAACCAATAAGAAATAGTATCCTAAACAATGAAACATTAAAACAATTTTATTTAAAATCAGAAGCTAGAATACTAGCATTATTATATAGCATTATTGTATAACGTGGTTTTTAGGAAGGTTTTCAAAAAATGAAATAAAGCAAGAAAATATAATGAATGATGTGAGTTAGAAAATAAAGCTATCGTTTTTGTGTGTGACTTAACTATACACATAGGAAACTAAGATAATGTAGCAGGAAAAAAGCTTAAATTGATAAAATGCTGAAGTGGATTCTTTCAAAGGAAGAACCCTGGCATAAACTGAAGATGGCTGACGAGAAGCAGGTAGTGTGCATGGCTCTCACAGACAGGAATGAGAGGGGTGACTAAATATAGCACCTTCAACTGAAACATCCAGGTACTTGCATTGAAATCAAGGAAACAATCTGACCCACAGAGAACAAAGAAAATCCACACAGGACAACAGCCCACTTTGGAGTGACACTGAGCCAGGGGAACCTCCCCTGCCCAGGGAAATGGTGAATGAATGTGTGACCCTGGGAACCCACGTTTCTCCTGTGGATCTTTGCAACCTAGAGGTCAGGAGATCTCATGAACCCACTCCACCAGGGCCTTCAGTCTGACAGACAGCTACATAGAGTCTTAGCAACATAGAGTCTTAGCAGAGCAGCTGCTGAGGGTGGAGACCCGGGCCTTAGAAAATCAGGTTTTCCAGCAAAAGTAACTGCAGGAAAGAGGCTATATACAGGTATATTTCCTATATACCTGTAGGAAAGAAGCTGAATATAACAGCCCGGCCCGGCCCGGCCCGGGCTGAATACAACAGCCCTGCCCCTGCCCCTGCCCCTGCCCCTGCCCCTGCCCCTGCCCCTGCCCCTGCCCCGCCCTGCGGGTCTGATAGACCTAAATAACACAATACAGGAATTTCACGATGCAATCACAAGTATCAGCAGCAGAGTAAACCAAGCAGAGGAAAGAATCTCAGAACTTGACGATTGGTTCTCTGAAATAAGATAGACAAAAATAAAGATAAAAGAATAAAAAGGAATAAACAAAATCTCTGAGAAGTATGGGATTATATAAAAAGGCCAAATCTATAGTCTTTCGCATCCCTGAAAGGAACTTGGAGAAAGCAAACAACTTGGAAAACATCTCAGGATATTGTTTATGAAAACTTCCCCAACCTTGCTATGTAGCAGGAGCAGCCGCGAGAAACAAAGCTCCCAAACACCGAATGGAGAAGGAAGAGGTCTTTATCACAGCTGGGAGCTGAGGAATGATTTGTCCAAATTCAGCTAGTCTAACAAAGGAAGGTTCTGCTTTTATATAGGCTTATACTTTAGATATTACGCGTGGAAGAATCTTAGGTTTACAGCCTTAGAAATCACATATGAAAAGTGTTTGGGTTTACAGCTTCAGGACTCACACCTGAAAAGGTTTCGGATTTGATCTTGTTTTACATAAAAGCAGTGTCTTCCAGAGAGTTTCCCCAAGACCAAGCCTGCCACCTACAGGAAGGTGA